ATACTTGGAGGGGCAGGGGACTTAGTAAGTAGGTTAGACATTGGGATATAATTGGGGTAACTCCATTTAGGGTACTCAAAAACTCGACTTATAACCGACGTACTAAGTCCCCTGCTGGCCCTCCAATGTGGGTCTAGGGTTTGAGGGCCTTGGGGGTTGAGAGTTTAGGGATTTAGGCTGAGCTCTCGGGTGTTTAGGGCTTAGGTGTAGGGGTTTAGGGCTTGTAGAGTTTGGGTTGAAGGCTTTGGGGCCTCCAGGGCTTTCGGGGTTGTGGAAGGTGTTTAGATTGAAAGAGTTTCGGCTTGGGGGCCTTCCAGGGTTTTAGATTTTTTGGGGGGCTTGGCGGGTAGGGTGTTCGGTGTTGAGGTTTTCTAGGATCTAGGACTTCAGGGCTTTTGGGGGGTTTTAGGCTCTAGAGTCTTCATGAAGAGGTTTTGCACATAGCTGTTATAGGATGTTGTGGAAAGCTTTGCAATTCAAATTGTGTTGAAGCTTGCCCCCTAATCCCTAAATCCTTTAACTCCTAAACCCCTAAACCGTGTTCTAAGGTGTACACTTGGAGGGGCAGGGGACTTAGCAAGTAGGTTAGAAGCAAAGTTATAAATAATTACCCTAAATGAAGTTACCCCTATTATAACCTACTCGAAACCCTACTTACGAAGCCCCGTGCCCCTCCAAGAAGGGCTTTAAGTTAAGGCACCATACTAAGGAAACCATATTACGTACTATAGACCCCTATTATGGTAACTTAAATCAAGCTCCTTAAAGGTACCATTGTAAAGAAACCGTCTTATGTACTGTAGATCCCTATTGCATATGGTTACTTAGATTAAATTCCTTAACCTCTAAACCCTTATAGAACCTTTAATGGAACCCTAAACTATGACATCTTAGATTAAACCCCTCTAACAAGAATCCAGTTGTTAAGGGATGTAGGGTGTAGAAGTCATTTCGGCTTCAGGCTTTCATGCAGGGGCTTCGGGCCTAAACTCCCAACCCCAAAAGCTAAACCCGAAACCCTAAACCCTAAACCATAACCCCGAACTCCTAAATCCTAAACGGACTACGGTTTAGGCTCTAGGGCTTTTAGGGCTTCGAGCCTGAACTCTCAGAACCAGATTGCCGGCTGCAGGGGCCCGGATTTTAGGGTTCAGGATTCAGGGTTGCCGGTTTCGGGCTTGGGGTTCAGGGTTTAGGGTTTAGGGCAGGGTTTGGGGTTCACGGTTGAGGGTTTAGGGTCTAGGGTCTGGGGTGAAGGATTCAGGGTTTTACCAGGACCCCGCCAAAGCCCTCCCAATATCCTTATGGTCATTCATAGTGTCTTTAGAGTACATTAGAAGGTGGTCGGGGGTTTAGGGTCCAGGGTTTGGAGTTCAGCTTATAACCCCAACTAAGGTACTTATAACCTTACTTACTAAGTCCCATGATCCGCCAAGTAGGGTTCAGGTCACTAACACTACGTTCCGTCCAAGAACCCAGTAGTCCGAACCCGAAAACTCTTCCTTGTCATGGAGCACCACACAACTTACCTTTGGTTAGTAGGGAATGGAGGAATGGGGTACAATTATAATTACTATTACTACCATTCTTCCATTCCCTACTAACCGAAGGTAAGCACAAAGTTTCGGAACCTCAAGAGCAGAAACTCCGAAGTGTGCTTGTTCATTGTTTAAACATGCAGAGACTGACATTATTCGAAGTGGTTTAGGGCTTATTCGTAACTGTAAGGAAGGGGGCTCTACATCAAGCATCCATCTCAAACCCTAAACCCCTAGACCCTAAACCCTGAAGATGTTCGTGGTTCCCAGTAGTCCCAGGTCCAGGTGCGCCGGTGGCTGCAGTGGGCTTGTTAAAAGAGTGGAGATCATCGTCACCACCTGGGCTGTCTTCGATCTGGGCTTGGGCCTTAGAGTTTAAGAATTACCTTCGGGCATCTGGGTTTAGGGCTTAGGGTTTCGGAATTAACGTCGGGCAGTGGAACGATCATGGGACCGCAGCACACCGATAGAAGGGTAGATAGGTAGGTAGATAGACAGGGCCGTGTCATGGTCCAATACCCCTTACATAAGATGCATAGCTTGAATCATGATATGAAACCCTAAAGTTGTAATTGAAAGGTAATGTAGGGGCCTTAAGAACTACAATAGAGTTTGGGGGTTCCTTATTATAATTACAGCATGAAGTCCCCAAACCCTATTCCAATTATTACGGCCCCTATATTGTACGGCTGATGCTACAAATCCTGCACTACCCAAACTACGGAACATACCTTAATTCCCATAGTTTAGAATCCTTAAGGTAATGCAGGATTTGTATCATCAACCGTAGTACCCTTGTAGATCCCTTATAGTGACCCCTATAGACCTCTTAAAAGGAACCCTACAATCCTGGCATACTCCTTAATCAAAGGGCATGGGGCTCTGGGGGATCTCTCCTTCTACGGGGCTCTTGTGGAGGGATTAAAGTTAAGGTATCATAGTAAAGAAACCATAGTCTTTATTTACCATAGACGTCTACTATGGTAACTTAATTTAAATTCCTTAGCAAGAACCCAGTCTACTCTGCGAACTTTCCAAGTTCCCTTGGCCTTGGAGTAGGTCGCGCTTAGGGTTCCCAACGAGCAAATTTTGAGGGTCCAAAGCAGGGCTATCGGTTCGGTCTGCATAGCGTGGTTGTCAATATTTTGGTCCCTTTTTGGGTCCTTATTATACGGCACCTAACTTTTAGGGTACCCAACAAGGGACCATAATTTTACAACCACCCACATAGGGTTTGAGGTTTCGGGTACCATACATCATGCGATCACCTTACGGCCTTACGTACATGCAACCTTCCCATGATTATGTAAGCACTTGATTTCGGGAATTTCTCACTGACGTCTCGCTAAAACCTAAAGCCTGAATCCACTGGTCCCTTGCGTGTTCTTCGGAGTCCCAGCCACAAAGGCCACAGCCCGCGTTGCACTGACCCATGGCTCAGGCTCCCAGTGAATGCTCCAGGCGTTCAGGGTCTTGGGGTGCTTAGGGCTGCAGGGCTTATTCTACCTTAAAGGGATCTATAGGGTTCCTTAAAGGGATCTATAGGGTTCCTTAAAGGGATCTATAGGGCTCCTTAAAGGGATCTATGGGGTTGTGGATTTAGGGTCTACTTGGAGGGGCAGGGGATTGAGTAAGTAGAGTTATAAGTAGGGTTATACTTGGGGTAACTCCGTTTAGGGTACTTATAACTCTACTTATAACCTACTTACTAAAAGCAGGGCTGTTTGAGGCTTTACAGGCTTCGGGCCGGGTTTTTGGTGTAGAGCTTCTTAGCTTAGGGCCTTGGGTTTATCAAGAGAGTCGTCCCCAGTACATACCGCAACAGATCTTGACTGAGTTTGGTAGTTAAAACTTCGGTCGTAAGCTGTAGGAGTTCATGTTGTTGTGAGGTTTACGACCCGTTCGGGCTTAACTGGTTTGGTGTTTTGAGTCTTGAGGCTTTGGGCACAAGGGCCTAGGGTACTAGGGCTATGGGTTTGCATGGCATGCGTAGCAGCGGTGTCCATATTGAGGGCTTCATGACGTGGCCTCCCATCGCTGCAACAGCTGTCGGTACGTCTCCGGGCTTCTCTGGTTTGCTATGTTGCGGGGGCTCCAGCAAACCTGCAAACTCTAAACCCCAACTTAAACCTTACAGCCCAAAACCCCAATCCCCAAATCCTACACCCTAAACCCCCACCCCAAACCCACAATCTAAATCTCAAACCCTATGCCCTAAACGCCAAGCCCTACAACCCCAAACCCTACACCCCAAAAAGCTGGGCGCGTCGGGGCTTCGATTTACAGGATCAGAGAAGCTTCGAAGCTGGGCTGACACTAGGCGGGGTTATTCTTGTCCTTTTAGGAACAATAGACGAGCCCTATATATACCTAGATCCCTTAGTAGGAATTATTTAAGAGGGTCTACTAGCCGGTCTGTTTATTCTTTTGGGGGAACCATGAAAAAGGACAAGGCTGGGCGGGGTTATCCTTTCTATCATGAGTTCTAGAAGGGTTGCTGATACGGTTGATAATCTAAACCCTGCACTACCCAACATCAGGAATATACCCTAGTTCCCATAGCTTAGGATGCTTGAGATAATGCAGGATTTCTATCATCAACCGTACTGAATACCGGGGTGCCCAGAGACTCCAATATCCCTTAATTAAGGAATATTCCTCAAATTATAGTAGGATCCCTATTATGGTTTAAGGAATATTCCTTAATTAAGGGATATTGGAGTCTCTGGGTGCCTAAGACTGAAGAGTCGAAAAATCGATTTTGGTGGATTTTGATGTAAAAGTTGGGGGGGGGGGGTTTAGTAAGGGCTCTTAAAGGGCTCCTTAAAGGGATCTGTAGGGTTCCTTAGAGGGATCTATGGGGTTTAGGGTTTAGGGTCTACTTGGAGGGGCAGGGGACTTAGTAAGTAGGTTATAAGTAGAGTTATAATTACCCTGAATGGAGTTACCCCAATTATAACCCTACTTATAACCTACTTACTCGGTCCCCTGACCCTCCAAGTAGTATTGATGACCGTTTCGCCAACTATGGTACCTGAGGCCAGTCCGAGTATGTATTTGGGTAGATTGCCCCCCGAAAAATACAACCTCTAGGACAATGGTCAGGCAAACCTCGACGGTGCTGTTGCTGCCGTTAAATCTGTCACGAAGGTTCGAGCTGGACAAGCTGTCAGCTGTGCCGGAACGAAGTTGGTGGCTCTAGCCGTGCTACTTGAACCCTAAACCCGGAAGAGAAGGCCCAAACCCAAAGCTTTCAACCAAACCCACCCCCAGACCCAGAAGCCTTTGAAACACCCCAGACCCGAAGCCCAACCCCACAGCCCGGAAGAAACCCCCAAACAAATCCTAACCCCCACATAAACCCTATATTATAAACCCCATGCAAACCTCGAAAAAAACTAAACCCCTTAGACACTGGATAGAAACCTGGAAACCCAACAAAAACCAGGCAATAGCCAGTGCCTCAGGTGCGGAATCAAGCAGGAGCTGTGGCACCTGTCAGGAAATGGTGGCTGAGAGGGGTTTCGGAGAAAGGGCTTTTAGTTTGGGGTGTAGGATTTAGGGTTTAGGTTAGGTACGGCCCCCATACAGTAAGAGTCTATAATAGGGCTACTATTAAGGTCCTACTATATCTATATTATGAATATTATTATTCAACCATTACTGAGTGGGGGCCGTACCCAAGGTTTAGGGTTCAAGGTTTAGGGGCTAAAGGGTTTGGACTTCGGGTTTAGGAGTGTTGACATGATGCTCTTTTACGAAGGCCCTTCGATAGAGTTTCGCTAGGGTTCGAACTTTATGAACCCCACAGTTAGGGATTGGTGTTTAGGGTATTAGTGTAGGGGCCTGACAATTGCCAATGCCATCCCGTAGGGCTCCTTCTCACAAATACACCTCAACATGTCACAAAACTTAGGTACTGCCCCCATACAGTAAGAGTCCATAATCGGGCTGCTATTAAGGTCCTAATATATCTGTATTATGAATACTATTCAACTATTACTGAGTGGGGGCCGTACCCAACACAAAACCCTATTCTGGTAAATGCGGAGGCCTTTTCATATTCGGCGATGATGGCTCTGGCATGCTCTGGCACAAGGAAATATGTGCACGACGCCCAAAACCCCGGAACCCAAAACTCAAACCCAAAAACTGCGCCTAAACCCCTGGACCCTCAAAATACAAATCCAAAGCCGATAATTAGCACGCACCAACAAAATCATAAAACCCTTCCCTCCAACCCTTCCAATAAACCTTTGAACGAAAAGACCCCGACAGCCCTGAACCGCAACGACACAGATCATGTAGTGCGGGGGGGGGGGTCTCTTGGTAGACCTACACATGGACTATTAAGGGATATTGTTGCTGCTAGTATCGCCACTACGCCCGAAAAGCCCGGACGTGCACCTGCGTGGATTTGCCGCAGCCAGTTTCTCCGCTCAGTAACACGACCTGGTGCTCCTTCACGGCTGTGACCTTGCCAGTTTAGGGGTTCCTGGGTTGGGGTTCAGGGTATCGGGTTCGGGGTTTAGGGTTCAGGGTTCAGGGTTTAGGGTTCAGGGTGTAGGGTTCAAGGTTCCGGGTTTGGGGCTTAGGATTGAGTGTTCACCGCAACGGCTGCAACTCCAGAATCGAAGCTCGCTTCAGACGGAACCCTCCAGTACCGGCAATGGCGTTGCAATGCAGTAAAGGATCATACTGTACCTACGGGGTATTGTTGCAAGCTACTCAGGCCTACGTACACAGACGGTCCGAAGTACCTATGTCGTAGAATTTAGGGCTTCTATATCAGAAACCATTACAGGGAACTCCAGAAAGTTGGAATATGGTTTCTTGGTAGGATACCCTAGAATTTACCATAGAAGGGTTAGGATAATCATATTCCAACTTTCTGGCTTTTACCTTATTATGGTCAAACATGGTTTGAGAATTTATCCCTCCCTAACTGTACCTGAAACCCTTTGGCCTTTGGGACACAAAACCCTAAGCCCCAAGCAAAGACAAGTGGCAAGCACGGCAAGCTTGATTGATGGTTTAGAGTTTAGGGGCATTTATGGTTTAGGGCTCTAGGGGGCGTCCAATGAAAATTTATAGAGTTTGGCAGCATTTCAAAGATGCGGTCTGGCCGGAGCGCGCGTGTTTTTCCTTTTCTCGAACTGGCCAAGCCATCCGCACGTTTTGCACACCCAGTTGCTGCCTTCCTTCTTCATCTCATGGCTAGCCACTGCATCTTCTTTGAAACCATAGGTCTCTGTTGTAAGCTATGGACATTTCGGGGTGCTGCGCACCAGCTTGAACGTCAGGAAGTCTTCGATGAAGCTGGCCTGATGGCACCGGGAGGGCACGTGCATGGCACTGATTTGAGCAGACTGCCGCATCCCAAAGAAGATCTGCCGCTGAATCTAAGAGGCGACAGAGGAGAAGCAACCATCATCGAGTGGTGACAAGGACGTCGTCCGGGTCCTCTTCGACGATGCTGTACTTGGAGGATCACGAGACTTAGTAAGTATGGTTATAAGTACCTTAAGAGGGCTTCTAAGCAGTTAGCTCTTTGACAGCAGCAGCCCTAGCTAAGACAGGGACCCTTAGGGGGGTAGGGGGGAGGGGGTAGGGGACTGCACTTCCTTAAATAGGCCTTATTAAGTCCAGATTACAGGTATTAAGTCCCCCTTCCTTATTAAGGGGCCCTATGATAGCGACTTCGATGAGCCCGGGAGAGAGTGTGGTTGCGAAACTGCTATCCGGAGTCATCGGCTCATGGCAATTGAGGCCCTCTGCCTAGGAAGGCCCTTGACACGAAGGCCACCCACGGTTGATGATATAGATCCTGCATTACCTTAAGGCATTACCTTAAGGACCCTAAACTGTGGGAATTATGGTATATTCCTTATTATGGGTAATGCAAGATTTATATCATCAACAGCAGCAGCCCAGAATGGCCGACATCAAGCCACCGCCGAGAACTTGCATGAATCAAGTGTGGGGTTCCATGCTGCAGGCGTCTCCTTGGAACAGTTGTGCATGCAAACAAACAGTGACTAAGCAAAAAGTCAAAGCCCACAAAACAGCATTCAAGATTCAATTCTGAGAACAGGCTTCGTGTGCATCGTCGTCATTGCTGAGGGCGCTGCTCCTAGAAACCCAAAACTGACGTAAACCCTATCGCACCACTATAGAACCTTCACCCCCTATTAAGCCCAAAGCTGCACACATCCTGAAACCCGTTAAAGGAGGCATAGAAGTAAGTCTTAACCAACCCCGAAACGAACCCCTAAAGGAACCCTCATAGTACCCCTTGTAGTATGCCTTAAAGGAGCCCCTAACAGAACCTTAGCGGATGCCCTTATCAAATCGTTTTGGGGTTCAGGGTTCAAGATGCAGTATTTACCCTAAGGCTCCACATAGCCCAAAGTAGGTACCATTTATAGACTTTAGAGCCCAAAGTAGGTAGTATTTGTATACTTGGAGTCTTAGGGTTAGGGTTTAGCGAAGGGAAACCCTTACACCCGAACAGGAAAAGCAAAGGACAGCTACAAAGCTCTACACACCCCAAACTTAAAACTGCAAACTCCCTCTGCGACACCGAAAAACCCCAAATCCTAAACCCGAAAACCCCTAAGTCAACCCTAAACCCTAAAACGCCCCGAAGTCCTAAACCCTAAAAAGCCGTAAGATACAGCCAAGCCTAAACCCTAAGAAGCCCCGAAATCCTAAACCCTGACGAGCCCCAAGATACGGTTGATGATATAAATCCTGCATTACCCAGAATAAGGAATATACCATAATTCCCATAGTTTGGGGTCCTTAAGATAATGCAGGATTTGTATCATCAACAGTACCGCCACAACTTCCCAGGTTCCTCACCACCTCTGCTCGCTGCTTGAAGGCTGGCAGCGCCTGCTTGGAGGATGGTTCCTTAAAGGGATCCTTACAGGGTTCCTTAAAGGGGATCTATAAGGGTTCTATAGTGGGAGGATCATGGGACTTAGTAAGTATGCATATAAGTACCTGAATTGGGCTTATAAGTGGTTATAGGTATAGCTACCTTAGTAATAACCCTAGCTACGAAGTCCCATGATCCTTTAAGTGGTGCATGTTTGCAGCTTGGGTTTTGTGCCACGGTTTAGGGTTTAGGGGTTTAAGGTTTAAGGGTTTAAGGTTTAGGGCTTAAGGGTTTAGGGGTTTAGGGTTTAGGGGTTTAGGGTTTAGGGCGGGCTTAGGTTGTCGGGTTGAAGGGTTCAGGGTTTCAGGGTTTAAACGGTTCAGGGCAAAGGCTTTAGGGTTTGGGGCGCGGGTTGAGGGTTTCAGCGGAGGGGCTAGTTAGTGTTTTTAGTTAACAAGAGGGCATCTTCTGGGGAGTTCTGTATGTAGAGCCTGGCATCTTTGCTGATTGCAGGTTCAATACAGGGTTGTGCGAGGATTTATAGGGTTGTATACGGGTTGTGACGGGTCTTGTAGGGTCCTGTAGTGGTTATACCAGGGTTTGATATCTGGTCCTAGCTTCTTCGGGGTTTGGGGTGATCGAAGGGGGTTGAGTCTAGGGTTAGTTAGGGATAGCCATGCCCCATGTTTATCTCCGTCCCGCCAACGCCTCACACGTTTTTCCCCTAGGGGGTACCCTATGATTTCAACATTTCCATAAATTTTTGCCCACTTTTGACATCATACCCTCGCACATTTCACCATTAAAATTTCAGAAATTTATGATAAAAAATTCATAAAATTTTATCATAAATTTTATTACAAAAATTCATAAATTTTGTGATATTTTTTGTGATCTTTTTTCGTGATATTTTTTGTTATATTTTTTTTATATCGCAGTTTTTGCTTTTAAATAACCTTCTAGTTCATTTAGTGATCCTTGTATAATTTTCAGATATTCATCATCCCAATATGACGTGTTATTTTTCTCTTTCATTTTTATGAGTATATTTTCATGTTTTTTTAATATTACATATTTTTTCATTCCATACTCAATACATATATCGTCTAGTTCTTTTTCAAATATCTCTTCATATTTGCTTTTACCAATGTCTTTACCTGTTACAACTTCCTTCATGAGTTTCATCATATATATATTACTATATATTTTTCTTTTTAAAACTTTTAAAACTTTTATATATTTTTATCTTCATTTCTTTAGATATATACTTTTATAGCACAATTTATGACATATTATTTTCATACAATTCTATTAGTTCTTTTTGTAGTTCAATTTGTTTTTCTAAATACTTCATTTCCTTATCTAAATGTTCCTGTTCTTCTTTTTCTATAACGCATTTTTGTTTTATTTCTACAATTTTACTTTCTCTACTTTCTTTGATAATTTCTAGTTTTTCTAATTCATGTTTTGCCTGTTTGTAGAGTATTTCAAACAATTCATCTTGAACTGATTTTTTCATATATATAATACTATATATTTTAGTTTTTAAAACTTTTAAAACTTTTGTTTTTGCAACATGTCATGTGCAGTTCGGCATGTGCAGTCTGACACGAGAGGTTGTGCATTGTTACATCTTGTTCCCCTTGTAGCATTTATTGCTCCAGTTTTTTGAGTGTTTCAAGAAACTTTTTCAATTCGCTTTGTCCCGTCGTTTCTTGGATTGTATTTTATAAACTTTTATATTTTATGTTTATTTTGAATATAGTTTTATATTTTATACAAGTCTATATTTATTTTCTACTAAGGCTATGCAGATCTTCGTGAAGACCTTGACGGGCGTGACCATCACCATGGATGTTGAAGGTTCCGACACGATTGACACCGTGAAGGCAATACGTTCGAATTGCAAGAGGCAGCTTGACGGCACTGCTTCTTCGTCGTCGGCCTCGCGTGCGCGCTAGGCCTCCATGGACTGCATTTCTTTTTGGCATGGTTCAGTTTTTGCACAAGCACTGACTGATTGGTTGCTTCATGTGGAGCGGTCCAGCATGGTGGCTGCTACCACGTCATGTTCACCCTGACAGACACCGTGAAGGCAAAGATCCAAGACTTCTACGGCATCACTCCTGAAGATCAAGAATGGGGAGTTCAATCGCATTTTGCAGATGAACACCAAAATTTATTGGATATGCTATGCCATTCCGATGAAGAGGACAGCACCGAGGAAGGCATCTACAACGGTGATCGTGAAACCTTGGATGATAAGGGCAATAAAGTTTTTTATCAGATAGGAGGGGGTAAAAGGGCTCGTGTTTCTTCATCAAACGCTATGGGGTTCAAATGCACTAGCAAATATACTTCTAAAAACCAGCGTATCCGTTTTATCAATGAAGAAGCACGGAGCCTTGAAACACGGATCACCTCTTCGTCGGTGGTTTCACGGGTTTTTACCGAACAAATAGCTCGTATTAAACAAATACTAGAACTAGCAGAAACCAACGCGAAGAGTTGCATAACCGCTATTTTAGGGGTTGTAGATAGGAAGGTAAGACTTAATTTAATTGAAGAACTAGCAAAAAGCAATAACGGGGAATTAAGGGTTAAACAAATGGTTGACGTTTTGTTTCATTATGTAGATGACCAATTAGGGGAAGTAGAGACTTTGGTTACTGCCCTTAAATCTTATTCTTTACGCTCTATGGAAAAATTAATTGTTAGTTTATGGGGTTCTTCTAATGGGGATATCCAATGGCAAAAATTATACGGGTCTTTAAGTAAATGCCCTGTTCATGGAGATCGTCGCCATGATACGGAAAACCACCATGACGACGATGACGACGACGACGATGACGACGATGGACATGGTGGTAAAAAAGATGGCGATGAGGATATGCCGGACATTAGTTCCATTTCTATATCTACGCCAAAAAAACGAGGGCGTCCGGCAAAAATTACCACTTGATGAGGTGGGATGTTACAAAATATTTTTTGGATATAGTAAATAATTTTACAATATTTTGTTTTATTCTTTTGTTTTCCCTGCAAAGGTGGCCATCATCAGCGTGGGGCGCTCTGTGGCTACTGGATCGTCTGGTGGTTGCTTCTTTTGATGTCCTCTTGAAGGTGGGTTGGTAGAAATAATGAATAGTATGGGTTTATTCTTTTTTCCCTGACGAGGACATGTTAATGACACAGACCATTGCAAGCCAATGGACGGGAGGACAGATTTTATAAAAGGTAATATTTTTCCTTATCTTTTGGTTAGTAATTATAATATGTTTTTTGTAGTTCGTTTTTTATTTTAGATCAACAAGGAGCCTCGCGAGTGATGGCACAGCACAGCCTCGGGGAATGAAGCATCGTCTCGCTGAGCAAAAACAATGCTGGGAAGAGTGATTGGAATAATAAATAGTTCAATAAATTATTTTTTTTATTGAAATATTTAGATTTTTATTTTGAATAAATATTTTTCCTATATATATCTTGTAAATCTTTAAGATACATTTTTTTCATTTCTTTATCTCCTGCAGATCTCACCCAGTTGTTATATGCACTTCGGTATTTTTTATATGTGGCGTTAGTTATTGTCTTTCTATTGTTTGCTTCTTCAAATAATTCTCGTATTTTTTGTATTCCTATTTTACTTGGTTTGATTAAAGTTGTTCCGGTTGTTGTTTCTTCTTCTTGGCTGTCTTTTAAAATAGTTTTATCTTTTTTAGTTTTTCTTGACCCTTTCCTTACTGGTTCATCTGTTTGTTGTGGTGGTGGCGCGTTTCCGCTTGAACTTGATGAACCGCCGTGTTGAACATTAGGTCGTGGTGGTGCTGGTGATGGTCTGGGTCTAGGTAATTCTGTTGTTGTGGGTTGA